CAATTTTGCAGGACACTCTCCCCTCTATGTCAAGCCATGATTAGAACCGACTCTAATACCAGCCTCTTCCCAAGCAAGCTCGAGTTTGGTGGTAGGCCCCCTTCCTAAATTTTTCCATTTGCTTGGAGGTCCTCATCCTAGTTCTCATCCTCCGCTCCATCCTCATCCTTTCCATGTCATAATATTTTTCTTCTCGGTTCGCTTACTCATGGCTCCATCTTCGTCTTCTACAGTAAATCTTCTTACTGTAACACCATGGCCATGCTTTCTTTCATAACCAAAGTCGTCATATTATCGGTCGCCATTAGCATCACGACCAGGGCCCATATCATGCACATTCTGACTCCCCTTTCTTGGAGCTAGGATGAATGAACCCCACTCTAGTGTAGCTTCATTATGTTCACTTGTGACACATTCCTAATGCCTATGTCCCATCCTACCACATGCCCTATAGAAAAGTAGATAACTTCTCATACCTCACCTTACAGAAATATGTTCAGTCTCCTCTTATAAAACTGAAAAACCTTGTCAGCTTCTTGTTGCCATCAAGTTTCACTAGGACTCGTAGAAAACTGTCCAACAAAACCACTAAGTAGGGTTATTGGTATTTCCTGCACCTCGCCAATCCTCATCTCCATATTTCTGAATTTGACTTCACGCGTCTCAACTTTAACAAACTTGACACTTTCAGGGTTTGCATAACCACCGTACTCTTGAATAATCAATGCTAGCCTTGAAATCCCACAAACCTTGATGCAATGCCTTGCTCCAATAAACTAGACAAATGGAATTGCACAAAGAACACTGTAGGGTTAATCCTGCTCCATATCATCTCATGTGCAAGATTCCAGGACACTTTCATATCAGCTATCAACGCCCCTTGGCTGAACCCCTTCTCCGTCTGTAATCTCTTTAGGGCTAGCCACTTCAGTTGTTCGTCCGCCATGTCAACTTCATCGTCCCGAATCAAATCATCTAGTTCATCCACTTCACGGGGTGTTTCCCCATTTCTAAAAAAAGAAAAGAAAAAAGTTCATCCTCTTCAAGGTGCTGAAGTTTGAGTAGCGCGCTAGGGTCTTCTTTCTCCTGATGTCACCAACTTCCTCTTGGTGTATTAGCAATCCTCGTGGTCTAATTCCTAGTAGCTTCGACTACTCAATTCAAAATCTTACATCCCACACGAGGATCGGGATGCAGGGGAAACCTGATGTGAGTCAGGAGGGACACACAACACAAGATGGGTGTAGATCGGTGGGAAATGCTCTCGATGGCATGGCCATCGGTGGAAAGAAAACCCGAGGGAAAATTAATGTTTTTCTTGTACCATATAAAACTAATTTATTATTGTCATGCAAGGGGTTAGTACAAGGGAAACGTTTGTTTTCAACCGGATGAAAAAAATGATCGCAAGCCTCTCCCGTTGATCGACACGTGTCCTCTCGCCCTCCACCGCTTCGCCCAGCCGGCCTTAACTCTTCCACCCCGTCTCTTCTCCACACGTTTTCATCCCTGCCCCCTTTATCTGTTCCCCATCTCTACTCGCGAGAAGAGGAGAGCCCCCATGGCGGACTTCGGCCACGGTGCTGCAAAAAAGGGAGCGACAGAGACGATGAAGTCCATGCGCCACCGCCGCGGTGTTGCATCCCCGAGGGTGCGATGCAGCGCGCACGGGGGAGGCGGTCTCTCGTCGGTATCGCCGGCGATACGCCGCGCTCGTCGACGACTGTCTGTGCTCTGATGCAGAGCAACACATCCATGGCCACAGCGCTGCAATACAACCTGCTGATGCTACAAGTCGCCAGCGGCGGAGCTGCATTGGAGAGATCTTGGGGCCATTGGAGCTCCACCGCGGCTGCAGTGAAGCGTCGTCGGAGGGTCGGGGTTGCAATATAGCGTCGCCGGAGCTGCAGTGAAGCACGCCGGAGGGTCGTCAGGGTTGCAATGGAGCGTCGCCAGGAGCTGCAGTGAAGCACGTCGAAGGGTCGTCGGGTTGCAATGGAGCATCGCCGGAGCTACAGTGAAGCACGCCGTAAGGTTGTCGGGGTTGCAATGGAGCGCTGCCGGAGCTGTAGTGAAGCACGCCGGAGGTTGCAATGGAGCGTCGGTGGCGCCACCGGTGCTACCATGGAAGCTGCTGCGCTTGGTACAGGGAAGGAAGACCAGGTTTGTGCTGCGATCCAACTGTTGGCGCTGCGTACAGGGAAGGAAGACGAGCTTGTGCTACGATCCAACGGCAACCCCCGTCAGATCGGACGGCTAGTTAGGGGGACGATTTCCCGAGGAAATCATCCAGCTGATTCGTAGCAGCCCCCTTAGTAGAAAGGGTGAGGCTTTGGCGATATGCGCCGATAGACCCAGGTGCAAGGTGTTAGTAGAAAGGGTGAGGCTTTGCCTGTATACACTGGTAAACCCAGGTATTTCTCATTCTTCGCCTCCGCACTTATTGTGTCCAGCCTTTTGATACTACTATTCAGAACTACTCCCTTCACGCAGTGATACCAAGTTGATGTTCCTCGGTACACAATGGAGGTACCAAAAGAACTAAACACAAAGTTTCAAATAGCCTGCTATAGTTTTTGGAGAGCACTCCCGCTAAAGCTATGCACTTTTAACGCTAAACTGAAAATGATGCTAATAGGCTCCTATTTCTCGCTATGTTAGTAAATTTGGAGTCATTTAGAGCCGCTATAGCCAGATGAGTTACGCAAGTGAGTTGTACAAAACCATGCTTCTACTTTATTCTTTCTTCTTGTTTCTGATATATATGATGCATTGATGCAAAGCTTGGTTTTTTTAAAACATAAATTCCATTAACCAGAACGCTCGGCAGATTCGATGGCAACCAAGTCGTGATATATATGTTATTGCTCAAGGCTTCTCATCTTTTTTGATAGGCGATTCAAGAGACTTTTAGAAAGTTTATTGGTAATCATGTTCGTGTTGGTGAGGGAATGGCATTATCGCTGCTACAGTTTTATTATAGTCTCTTTACTAAAGTCTTAGGAGTATTTCGTGTTGAAGAGATTGGTACCACGAAGCAAAAGTCTCTGAATGATATTATTGTAATTATTAGTCACATCAGTTACTTTGTATTCTTTTGAATCTTAGATCTAAACAAAGTATTTGTAATGATTATAATTATATGATGGTAATATCTAGCGACCGTTCTCTGCAACGACACGAACAACATTTTAAGTGTTAGTGGGGGTGTCATTTAAGTGTTAGGGCATGGCATTTTATTTATTTTGGGGCAAATTTATTCAGAAACTGCCATCCATGAGATCTAGATCCTGTGTGGCCGTGGGTGTGTTCGCTGAGGATTGGTTCCAGTCGAACATTCGTCAGATATCTTCCGTAATTATACACACTAGCGAGGGATCATCTGAGAGACTCAAATAGTACATTTTCGTATGACCGATATACTTATTTGAGACAAGTTTCATGGATTCTATTTTACTTCGAAAATTACAATAAGTTCCGCTGAAGTTCCAGAACCTTTTAAGCAAAAGTTAAATTCAAGGTTCATGTAGGATAACTTTTTGACCCTAATAGCTGGCGAACGTTCTTGAGGAGGGGATGGAATTTACGACCGATTTGAATGGCAGTTTTAGTGGTAGATGGTGGCAATTTTATTTGTAGGGTCAGCTTAATTATTCCTCAAAAAATACCGGCACTACTCTAGGTCAGCTAAATTAACTTTTTTTTTGAGAAATTGTTCATGCAAATCACGAATCAGTACAAAGTAGGTGACCCTTACAAGCACAGTGAAACGCAAAAACAAAGAACCATGAACACTTAGAGTACCCTAAGACAATCATAACACAAGAAGATCTCCGGAGCCCTGTGTCATCATCCCTGAATCTTGAGAGAAGACTCCAACCAGTCGCAAACAGGTCATCATCTTCGACCACGGTAAAATTGCCGCCACGCTGCTTCCTCCTTTCTTGACACCAGCGCTGAGAAGGCATAGACATCAATCCAACACACCTGCAACAGCCGTCACAATCTTTGGCTTTGAGTACCGCGAAAAGTGTCCCTTCCAGAAGGAAGAGAACTCGAGTCATCCGACCGGTCCAGCACCGCGACCGGGCCATCCGCCTGGGCAAAGCAGGATCTCTCACCAGCATCAGCGCAGAGGAAGGAGAAGAACAGCAGCAACAAATCGTACCAACAAGGGAGAAGAAAGGTCTTCGTCTCCCTACCTCCATCGCCCATCTGAGGATCCAAACGGCCAGTGCCGATGGACCTCCAACCACCATAGCCCGCGACCTCGACGAGATCCGGAGATCCCCAATACCGCTGGCTCCTAGAAAAAGGCAAAAGCCTCGCCTGACCGCGAACGAAGCCCGGAGAAACTTATTCCGATGCAACACCACCGCAACGGCCTCGGCAGCGTCTCCCTCAACCCTAACCCTACCACACACCCATCTAGTGAACAGACCCGAGGTTCTCCCTCCCTCCCGCCGCCGGAGCGGCCGACGAAGAGAGAGGAAACCGGCGGCGTCACCGGCGGCGCGCAAGGGACCCCTAGTCGCCTCCTTGATCGCCTCGAGGGATCCAACTTTCCGGGCGTGCGGTCGGCTTTTTTGTCGGTCAGCTAAATTAACTTGATGGATCGCTCTACAGCGTCCGCAAAACTGTCACGCAACTTCCAGGCCATTCACCGCTCAGCGTCGTCATGGCAGTCCGAGACGAAACGTTATGACGCGTTGCCACGTCGCTTTCATGATGCAGCACCGAAATGACATGTCAAATAATAAAACGTCCACTGTCACTACATATATACGCACTACTGGTGCAACTTGCAGCTGGTAGTAGATATCTTCAGCTATCCACGAGCTGACTTGACCTCAAAAATAAATATCCAGGCCTTTGTCAATTGTCATCTCCTTCCGGCCCTTATATGCATCCCTACATTGTCCTAGCAGATCACTCAGAGTTAGAAAGGAGCTCGACTTTGTCAGACTCACATCGCCTAGCCTCTCCAAGAGCAATCAGCCATGACGGTAAGTTCTTGCACCTGTCTGCCTTTGTCCACGGCTAAATTGCCAAGGTGTACTGCTAAATCCTTGAGAAATCTTGTTTTGCGTGCAGATCGTGGAGATGCAGATGAACATCGACTGCGACGGCTGCGAAGACAACGTGAGGAAGGCCCTTCTCAGGCTTCAAGGTACGTACGTAGTACCACCAAAGGAATTTCTCATCGTGATTGTGGTACTATCAGACTAGCTTGACATACAGTACGCATGGAGAGAGACATGTCCTGATGATAAGTTTGTGGTCGTGTTGTGCAGGCGTGCACTACGTGGACGTGGACCGAGCGCGGGACAAGGTGACGGTGACCGGCACGGCGACCCAGAAGAAGGTGCTGCGCGCGGCGCGGCGCACGGGGAAGCTCGTCGTGCTGTGGCCGTCGGCGTACGACCCGGGCTACCACCACGCCTACGCTCACGCTCAGCCGGCCTACTACTCGTACCAGGCCAAGCCCGCCTCCGCCGCCCATGCGCACCGCTACTACAACAGCGTTCCGCACGGTAGGAGCGGCTACATGCCGGCGGCGCAGTACGGCAGCGCCAGCTCGTACAACTACCACGTCCATGGCTACTACGACTCGGACCTCCATGGGTACTACCACGAGCAGCAGGCGCTGTCCAACGCCGCCGTGCCTGCCGACGAGCGGAGCTACTTCAGCGACGACAACCCCAGCGCCTGCTCCATCATGTGAGTGCCGACCTGTGGCCTCTGCATCGTGTACATACGTCTCTTGTGTATAGTTCTCTGTGTCAAGGTGCTCTGTTAAGACATTGAAGCCTATGTTTGGAACAAGAAATTTATGCAAGTTATCCGGGTTTTTTTTAATATACGAAAGTTTTTCTCCGGAGAAAAAGGGTACAAATGGCAGACGCTCATATACACGCATGTACACTCTGTTGGGGAACGTAGTAATTTCAAAAAAAATCCTATGCACACGCAAGATCATGGTGATGCATAGCAACGAGAGGGGAGAGTGTCGTCCACGTACCCTCGTAGACCGTAAGCGGAAGCGTTATGACAACGTCATTGATGTAGTTGTACGTCTTCACCATCGACCGATTCTAGTACCAAACGTACGGCACCTCCGCGATCTGCACACGTTCAGCTCGGTGACGTCTCACGAACTCACGATCCAGGAGAGCTTCGAGGGAGAGTTCCGTCAGCACGACGGCGTGATGACGGTGATGATGAAGCTACCGACGCAGGGCTTCGCCTAAGCACCACAATGATATGACCGAGGTGGATTATGGTGGAGGGGGCACCGTACACGGCTAAAGATCAATGATCAACTTGCGTGTCTATGGGGTGCCCCCTTCCCCCGTATATAAAGGAGTGGAGGAGGGGGGAGGGCCGGCCCTCCTATGGCGCGCCCTGGAGGAGTCCTACTCCCACCGGGAGTAGGATTCTCCCCCTCCCCCTTCCCTAGTTGGACTAGGAGAGAAGGAAGGGGGAGAGAGCGAGGAAGGAAAGGGGGGGCGCCCCCCTCCTAGTTCAATTCGTACCAGAGGGAGAGGGGGCGTGCGGCCTGCCCTCGTCTCCTCTCTCTCTCTCTCCACTATGGCCCAATAAGGTCCATACACTTACGGGGGGTTCCGGTAACCTCCCGGTACTCCGGTAAAATCCTAATTTCACCCGAAACTATTCCGATGTCCAAATATAGTCATCCAATATATCGATCTTTATGTCTCGATTATTTCGAGACTCCTCGTCATGTCCATGATCATATCCGGGACTCCGAACTACCTTCGGTACATCAAAACACATAAACTCATATTGCCGAACGTTAAGCGTGCGGACGAGTTCGAGAACTATGTAGACATGACCGAGACACGTCTCCGGTCAATAACCAATAGCGGAACCTGGATGCTCATATTGGCTCCTACATATTCTACGAAGATCTTTATCGGTCAAACCGCATAACAACATACGTTGTTCCCTTTGTCATCGGTATGTTACTTGCCCGAGATTCGATCGTCGGTATCTCAATACTTAGCTCAATCTCATTACCGGCAAGTCTCTTTACTCGTTCCGTAATGCATCATCCCGCAACTAACTCATTAGTCACATTGCTTGCAAGGCTTATAGTGATATGCATTACCGAGAGGGCCCAGAGATACCCCTCCGACAATCGGAGTGACAAATCCTAATCTCGATCTATGCCAACTCAACAAGTACCATCGGAGACACCTGTAGAGCACCTTTATAATCACCAGTTACGTTGTGATGTTTGGTAGCACACAAAGTGTTCCTCCGGTAATCGGGAGTTGCATAATCTCATAGTCATAGGAACATGTATAAGTCATGAAGAAAGCAATAGCAGTAAACTAAACGATCAAGTGCTAAGCTAACGGAATGGGTCAAGTCAATCACATCATTCTCTAATGATGTGATCCCGTTAATAAAATGACAACTCATGTCTATGGTTAGGAAACACAACCATCTTTGATTGAACGAGCTAGTCAAGTAGAGGCATACTAGTGACACTTTGTTTGTTTATGTATTCACGCATGTACTAAGTTTCCGGTTAATATAATTCTAGCATGAATAATATACATTTATCATGATATAAGGAAATACAAATAACAACTTTATTATTGCCTCTAGGGCATATTTCCTTCAGTCTCTCACTTGCACTAGAGTCAATAATCTAGATTACATAGTAATGATTCTAACACCCATGAAGTCTTGGTGCTGATCATGTTTTGCTCGTGAGAGAGGCTTAGTCAACGGGTCTGCAACATTCAGATCCGTATGTATCTTGCAAATCTCTCTGTCTCCCTCCTTGACTTGATCGCTGATGGAATTGAAGAGTCTCTTGATGTGCTTGGTTCTCTTGTGAAATCTGGATTCCTTTGCCAAGGAAATTGCACCAGTATTGTCACAAAAGATTTTCATTGGACCCAATGCACTAGGTATGACACCTAGATCGGATATGAACTCCTTCATCCAGACTCCTTCATTCGCTGCTTCTGAAGCAGCTATGTACTCCGCTTCACACGTAGATCCCGCCATGACGCTTTGTTTAGAACTGCACCAACTGACAGCTCCACTGTTCAATATAAACACATATCCGGTTTGTGACTTAGAGTCATCCGGATCAGTGTCAAAGCTTGCATCGACGTAACCATTTACGACGAGCTCTTTGTCACCTCCATAAACGAGAAACATATCCTCAGTCCTTTTCAGGTATTTCAGGATGTTCTTGATCGTTGTCCAGTGATCCACTCCTGGATTACTTTGGTACCTCCCTGCTAAACTAATAGCAAGGCACACATCAGGTCTGGTACACAGCACTGCATACATGATAGAGCCTATGGCTGAAGCATAGGGAACACTTTTCATTTTCCCTCTATCTTCTGCAGTGGTCGGGCATTGAGTCTAACTCAACTTCGCACCTTGTAACACAAGCAAGAACCCTTTCTTTGCTTGATCCATTTTGAACTTCTTCAAAGCTTTATCAAATTATGTGCTTTGTGAAAGTCCAATTAAGCGTCTTGATCTATCTCTATAGATCTTGATGCCCAATATATAAGCAGCTTCACCGAGGTCCTTCTTTGAAAAATTCTTATTCAAGTATCCTTTTATTCTATCCAGAAATTCTATATCATTTCCAAACAACAATATGTCATCCACATATAATATTAGAAATGCTACAGAGCTCCCACTCACTTTCTTGTAAATATAGTCTTTTCCAAAAGTCTGTATAAAACCATATGTTTTGATCACACTATAAAAACGTTTATTCCAACTCCGAGATGCTTGCACCAGTCCATAGATGGGTCGCTGGAGGTTACACACTTTGTTAGCATCCTTTGGATCGATAAAACCTTTAGGTTGCATCATATACAACTCTTCTTCCAGAAATCCATTCAGGAATGCAGTCTTTACATCCATTTGCCAAATTTCATAATCATAAAATGTGGCAATTGCTAACATGAGTCAGACGGACTTAAACATCGCTACGGGTGAGAAGGTCTCATTGTAGTCAACTCCTTGAACTTGTCAAAAACCTTTCAAAACAAGTCGAGCTTTGTAGACAGTAACATTACCGTCAGCGTTAGTCTTCTTTTTGAAGATCCATTTATTCTCGATGGCTTGCCGATCATCGGGCAAGTCAACCAAAGTCTATACTTTGTTCTCATACATGGATCCCATCTCAGATTTCATGGCCTCAAGCCATTTCATGGAATCTGGGCTCATCCTCGCTTCCTCATAGTTCGTAGGTTCGCCCTGGTCAAGTAACATGACCTCCAGAATAGGATTACCGTACCACGCTGGTGCGGATCTTATTCTGGTTGACCTACGAGGTTCAGTAGTAACTTGATCTGAAGTGTCATTATCATTATCATCAGCTTCCTCACTAACTAGTGTAGGGATCATAGGAACTGATTTCTGTGATGAACTACTTTCCAATAAGGGAGCATGTACAGTTACCTCATCAAGTTCTACTTTCCTCCCACTCACTTCTTTCGAGAGAAATTCCTTCTCTAGAAAGGATCCATTCTTAGCAACGAATGTATTGCCTTCTGATCTGTGATAGAAGATGTACCCAACAGTCTCCTTTGGGTATCCTATGAAGACACATTTCTCCGATTTGGGTTCGAGCTTATAAGGTTGAAGCTTTTTCACATAAGCATCGCAGCCCCAAACTTTAAGAAATGACAATTTTGGTTTCTTGCCAAATCACAGTTTATAAGGCGTCGTCTCAACGGATTTAGATGGTGCCCTATTTAATGTGAATGCAGTCGTCTCTAAAGCATAAGCCTAAAACGATAGCGGTAAATCAGTAAGAGACATCATAGATCACACCATATCTAATAAAGTGCGGTTACGACGTTCGGACACACCATTACGTTGTGGTGTTCCGGGTGGCGTGAGTTGCGAAACTATTCCGCATTGTTTCAAATGAAGACCAAACTCATAACTCAAACATTCTCCTCCACGATCAGATCGTAAAAACTTTATTTTCTTATTACGATGATTTTCCACTTCACTCTGAAATTCTTTGAACTTCTCAAATGTTTCAGACTTATGTTTCATTAAGTAGATATACCCATATATGCTCAAATCATCTGTGAAGGTGAGAAAATAACGATACCCGTCGCGAGCCTCAATATTCATCGGACCATATACATCAGTATGTATGATTTCCAACAAATCTGTTGCTCGCTCCATAGTTCCAGAGAACGGAGTTTTAGTCATCTTGACCATGAGGCATGGTTCGCAAGTACCAAGTGATTCATAATCAAGTGATTCCAAAAGTCCATCAGAATGGAGTTTCTTCATGCGCTTTACACCAATATGACCCAAACGGCAGTGCCACAAATAAGTTGCACTATCATTATCAACTCTGCATCTTTTAGCTTCAACATTATGAATATGTGTATCACTACAATCGAGATTCAACAAAAATAGACCACTCTTCAAGGGTGCATGACCATAAAAGATATTACTCATATAAATAGAACAACCATTATTCTCAGATTTAAATGAATAACCGTCTCGCATCAAACAAGATCCAGATATACTGTTCATGCTTAACACTGGCACCAAATAACAATTATTCAGGTCTAAAACTAATCCCGAAGGTAGATTTAGAGGTAGCGTGCCGACCGCGATCACATCGACTTTGGAACCATTTCGCAGGCGCATCATCACCTCGTCCTTAGCCAATCTTCACTTAATCCGTTG